CATTATGATCCGCTCCTCCTTCATACCCCACCCTCCCCTGACCCTCCTGGTATCGCTACTCTCACCATTGGTCCTGAAGGGTATATCTGTCCTGGATTTCCTTGGTTTCCAGCTCTTATCTGTACCATTGTACATCTCTTGTCCAGCCGGATTTGTAGGGTAGAACTGGGATCATGATAGTGGGGGAGTGAAGGGAAGCATTAAAGAGTTAGAGGAAAGTTGTATGTTTTATCAGTGCTACACTGCACTGACTGGATCACCTCCTCCATGAGACCCTTCTGTAAGGGGATCTCAATTGCCTACAGATGGGCTTTGGGTCTCTACTCCGCAATCCCCCTCATTCACAATGATATTATTTTTTTGTTCTTTGATGCCTGTTACCTGGTCCCTTCTACATCGTTATCACACAGGCTGGTGTGTTCTTCCATGTGGGCATTGTTGCTTCTGAGCTAGATGGCCGCTTGTTTATCTTCAACCCTAGGACCCCAGACACTGTATCTTTTGATAGCCAGGCATCATCAGCTTTCTTCACCACATTTGCTTATGCACAGGCTGACAAAACCTTCTTAAATCTAGAAACTTGCTAACAGTAGAAATTGGAATAGTATCTATCAGCCACTTTTTAGGTTTATTTCAACATGACCACAAATTCCTCTCATTCCCATAAATAAATCCTTTCCATGACTTTGTAGCTCCTCCCAATAAAGAGATGCTCTTTCTCCACTCACTTGAATCTCAGGCCTGTCTCTGGACCTGTTCTGACTTGGTTATTGCAGAACCTCTCAACATTGGCATTTGTGATATTCTTGGCTAGATAATTCTCTGTTGTACAGAGCTGTCCTAAGTATTGTGGGAGATCTAACAGCACCCCTGGCCTTTCCCTATCCGATGGCAGTAGCATTTTCTCTAGACATTGTCCCCTGGAAGTTTTTTTCCTCTGGAAGACAAAACAGTTCCCTGGTGGAGAAGCACTCTTGCAATGTGACACAAGCAGAGGGCTGAAAAGCACCTACACATTATATCTCTGTAATCAGTAGCAACCGAGGAAGCCTGCTGAATATGGAGACCCTTACAAGAGTTACCCCAGTCGTTCCAGCCAACCTGCTGCGAGATATATCATGAGTGAATCCATCCAAGGCTATCCAGCATGATACTTTTCTATGGCTGCCTGATAAACATAAACTTGGTGGCTTAAAACCACATACAGTTAGTTATCTCACAGTTCCCACGGGGCATGAGTGCAGATGAGGTTTGGCTAGGTCCTCTGCTCAGGATTTCCTAAGGTTCAAACCACAAAAGTGATCAGGCTGCATTCATTTCTGCAGCGGAGTGTCCTCTTCTAAAACCATTTAGCTTATGGGAAAATGTAGTTCCTTGCAGTTGTAGGACTAAGACTGCTTTCTTGCACGTCCTGTATGCAGCTCCTATTGCTCCATGCAATTTCTTGTTACGTGGTCGTCTTACAACATAACAGAGTTTGTCTTCAAAGCCCACAGGAGAATCACTCACTTCTTCCATCTCTGACCTCTACATCCTCTTTTAATAGGCTTGCCTGACTCGGTCAAGCCCATAGAGGATAATCCCACTTTTAACAGACATAAAGTCAACTGATGAAGGGCCCTGGTGGTGTAGTGGTAACTTATTGGGCTGAGATCAACAAAGTCAGCAGTTGGAAACTACCAGCAGCTCCTGGGGATCAAGAGGGGGATTTTATACTCCCGTGAATGGTTACAGTCTCAGAAACTCACGGGGTAGGTTCTAGTATCTTATAGGGTCACTATGAGTTGGCATCGACTTGATGGCAATGAGTCTGTTTATTTTAGAGACAAGTGATTACAATCTGTAAAATCCTTTCACTTTTCACATATGCACATCTACTTTTGACACAACACAACGATCACCTTTGCTATATCCTATTGTTTGGATACAAATTACAAATCCCGCCCAAGGGAAGGAATTATACAAGGGTGTAGGTTATTAGGAATCATTTTAGGATTCTACCACCACAGTAGGCTCCAGGCAACCGACCAGCTGACCACAGACCTATCTAGAGTCCAGTCCAGATAATGTCAGATACTCT